AATCTCCATTCCAGTTTGACTGGTTATGGGATCTTTCACTTTTCAAGGCAAAAGGGCCTCAGACTCCTCAATCCTTCCTGATAGTTGCATCTTCTGGTAGCATCACCTAATGTGCCTGCACTTTCTCCAACACTCCAGTAACCTATTTGAGATATTAAGACCAGATTGTACACAGTATTCTGCATAGTCTAACCAAGGTTATATATATCTTTGACAGTTCCTCCCTGATTTTCTTTGCCCCTTCGTGGCTTTATCAACTTGAGTTGCTACTTTTGGTGACATAGGTTTCTGTATTACAGATTTCTTTGCTTTCTACCTGAGTTAATTCCTGCCCTAATATCTCCTTACATAACTTAATGTGATATTTTGTTTTGTACCTTTCCTGCAAACTCACATGGGACTTTTCTTTTAACAGTAAAGGTACAATATAAACACAAGTTGTTGTTGTCAATTTTTGTGAATTTTCCCTGCATCTATGACAAAACGTATTATTAAGATGCAGTACGCTAAAATAAATCAAGCTGGCTAAATGGGATCTAACTGGCAATTTATAAAACTTCTACTCAGTTGAATTCCAGCCTTCTTATGATAAAAGCCAATATTCCATTTGTTTTTATAACTTAACTCTTGTACTGGTCCACTAGCATTTAGTGATTTGTATACCTGGATCAAATCCCTCTGCCCCTCCACAGCTCCTAGATTTTCACTATTTTGAAAACATTCTGATCCATCTTTCACAGGTACAAAGTGGATGACCTCATACTTTACCACATCAAGCTCTAACTTCTTTAGTGTTACCCAAACATGTTATCTATCACAATATAAAAACCAAAAGAACTGCGGATGCTGTAAACCAGTTCTGAGGAAAGGTCACCGAACCCAAAATGTTAACTCTGATTTTTTTCTCCAAAGATGCTGCCAGACCCGCTAAGCTTTTCCAGCAACATCTGTTCTTGTACATGTTATCTATCACTGATGCTTCACAGCTTTCTCTTCCCAAACTACACTGCTTACTTTGCAACACGACCTCACATCATCAGCAAACTCAAATAGACAGCTTTGCCTTCATCCAAATCATAAACGCAATGAAAAGCTGAGGCCCCAGCATAAACCCCTAAGGGACACAACTACTCACATCCTGCCAAATGTGATATGACTCTGCTTTGGAGTAAACTGTACAGCTCATGCTCCCCTTCTTATTATATCATTGGGCTTTTATCTCATTTCCCGGTTTGATGATTCTGAGCCAGAGTTACTCAAGATCTTGAATTGTATTCTATATATTATTTTACTTTGTTGTTTAAATTCAATTATCTGTGTTGTACTTATAGTTAATTTTATCTGTTCGATAGATTAAATTTTAAAAATAGTCTAAAAACAAGGCAAGGTAAGTTCTCCTGAGTTTTCCATTATAATCTGTACTCCATGAGAGTGAAAAGTAAATAAACATTAATTCTAAAATGTTCTTTCTAAATCTGATGATTGACATCAGCACTACTGCACTAATTTGAAACATAAACTTAACTCCTTGTTAAATATACATGAAATTTTACACCAGTTTGTGTCACATATAGACAGGGTGTTTAAAAAGGCTTTTGGCATGCTTGCCTTCATTGCTCAGTCCTTTGAGTATAGGTGTTGGGAAGTCATATTGAGGGTATACAGGACATTGATGAGGCCTATTCTGGAATACTGTGTCCAGTTCATATAGCCCAGTTTTTGGAAAGATATTATTAATCTGGAGAGGGTTCAGAAGAGATTTACTAGGATGTTGCCAGGATGGAAGGTGTGAGATATAAAGAAAAGGGCTGGGAAGTTTTTTCACTGGAGCATAGAAGGTTGAAAGGCGACCTTATAGAAGTTTATAAAATCATTACGGGTATTGATAGGGTTATTGATAGTTGCCTTTTCCCTAGGATGGGTGATTTCAAGACTAGGGAGCACATTTTTAAGGTGAGAGGAGAGAGATTTAAAAAAGAGATGAGGGGTAAAGCTTTTACACAGAAGATGGTTTGCATGTGGAATGAACTTCCTGAGGAAGTGGTAGATATAGACGCAATTACAATGTTTAAAAGGCAATTGGAAAATTACAATAGGAAAGGTTTGGAGGGATATGGACCAGAAGCAGGTAGGTGAGACTAATTTAGTTTGGAATAATGTTCAACATGGCAGGGATTGGTTCTGGGTCCTCTTTTGTTTGTGGTTTATAAAAATGATTTGGATGAGAATATTGAAGGAATGGTTAGTAAGTTTGCAGATGACACCAAAATTTGTGGCATAGTAAACAGTGAAGATGGTTTTCTAAGATTACAAAGGGACCTTGATTAAATGGGTCAATAGGTTGAAAATAGCAGTTGGAGTTCAATCTGGATAAACGCAAGGTATTACACTTTGGTACAACAAACAAGTGTAGGGCCTATACATTTAATGGTAGGGCCTTGGGTAGTGTTGTAGAAAACAGGAACCTAGGGGTGCAGATATATAATTCTTTGAAGTTTATGTCACATATAGACAGGGTGGTTAAAAAGGCTTTTGGTAAGCTTGCCTTCATTACTCAGTCCTTTGAGTATAGGAGTTGGGAAGTCATGTTGAGTTTGTACAGGACATTGTGAGGCCTCTTCTGGAATACTGTGTCCAGTTCTGGTCACCCAGTTATGGCAAGCTGGAGAGGGTTCAGAATAGATTTACCAGGATGTTGCCAGGTATGGAAGGTTTGAGTTATAAAGAAAGGCTGGATAGGCTGGGACATTTTTGACTGGAGAGTGGGAGGTTGAGAGGTGATCTGATAGAAACTCATAAAATAATGAGAGGTATAGGTAGAGTTAATGGTAGTTGTCTTTTCCCTAGGATGGGGGATTTCAAGACTTGGGGGCACATTTTTAAGGTGAGATAAAAGAAATTTTAAAAAGACATGAGGGGAAAATTTTTTACATAGAGGGTGGTTCACATGTGGAATGAATTTCCTGAGGAAGTGGTGGATACGAGCACAATTACAATGTTTAAAAGACATTTAGATAGTATAAGAATAGGAAGGGTTTGGAGAGATATGGACCAGGAGCAGGCAGGTGGGCCTAATTTAGTTTGGGATTATGTTCAGCATGAACCAGTTGGACCGAAATGTCTGTTTTCATACTGTATGTCTCAATGGCTAAGAATATGACTATGATCTATTACTCTTAAAGCGTAATAAGAACAAAATCTGCATCAATTTTAAATATTGATAACATATAGAGTAAAGCAATGTTCAAAAGGGATCATTTCTTTGAAAAGGACTACAACATTTCAAGCCGGAAGAGAGTTAGAGACAGTCAGTGACGGAAATTTAAAATGAGTATGCAAGTTTTATATAAAAGAAATGCTTGCATCCTTGATTAACATCATGGAAATTTAATCTTTACAACATTGGATCTATGTGTGTATATATATATATATATTTTAGAGCTTATGGAAGATTAATGAAAAGAACTGACTTAATCAGACACAATCAAATCCAAACCTCCGCACTTGCAAAACTGCAAAATATTAGCTAACTGAACAGCAACTCAGAATGTACAATGAAAACAGCACAGCACTAAAAAAGAACTGTTCACGAAACTGTGTGAGAGCCACAGGAGGGGATCTTGCCTCACCACCACAGGAACTCACACATACAGAATTGCAAATGCTGAACACAAAAATGAATCAGGTGCTGACTGGAAGTTATTCTGAAACTTTCATTCAGCCTTAGTTGCAAACTTACCTCTGAGTTGGACAATTGAGGTTTCACTTCCCACCCCAGAATGTTAATATTATGTATGCTGAGTTTCAGTAGTAGTACCAATGGAGTGAAGTTGCAGACAGGATGCTAATGCTGAGCCCAAGCATTATTTCAAAGAGCGAGGAAAGTTATCCCTAATGTTCGAGCGGGCATTTATCCCACAGTCAACACCTAAACTAGATTATGTAGTCATTATTGCATTGTTGGCTGTGAATGCTTGTTCTGTACAAATTGGCAATTGATTTTAATACATTGCCATAGTAAGACACACTTTCAAAAGTGTTTTGGGACATTCTGAAGTCAGGGCAGGTGCTATATGAATGCAAGTTCTTTCTTCCTTTTAATTTTTAGTCTGCTAAGAGCAATCCCACTTCAATAAAGAGCAGTTAAAGAAGATTTTAATCCAAATGAGCAATTGAAAACCAAAACTATGGCAATTTGGAATGACTACCAGAACAACAGCAGTTAAATCTCATTAAATAACACTGGAAAGGTGACAGATGGACACATGACCCAGAAGTCATCACTAACCAGATTCACTTTGTCAGGCACAGTGCATACCTGAGTTTTGCAACTTGATATTTGAGATGGTTAGTTAATTCAAGATGGAGAAAAAAACTTTATGTTTAAACTGATGAGAAAACTCTGAACCTGGTACCAGCTTCACTCACAATACGATTATTGAACTGAGGGTGGAGAAAAACATACCGAGGCATCAAGACTGTTTATTCGCTCAGATCCAGAATTACACAAAACATGCCAGCGCTCAGTTATTGAAAATAAACCTACTGGCATCAACAATCTTGCAATAACAGCAACAAATGAAACCTTGAATATTGACATCGGGGTAAAAGCAGAAGTGAGATGAATTGGAGTACAAGGTACTGTGAAACCCAAAGTTAACACAATCGTATCACAGTCGGTGAGACATCAAGTCTCCACCACATTGACGTCTATAGGGAGGTAGCACTCAACAGCAACACTCAGAGCGACCCCAGCCATAGAAAACACAGCGACCCAACAAATCTGTAAGTTCAACAGCTCCGCTCTAACTGGTTTACTCTGTTCTCTCTGGGAATGTCAGCGTGCAACTCCGTCCTCCCCCAAAATATCGCACTTCCCTGAACTGGCGCGCATCTCTGTGCTGTTCATGTGATGCGAGAAAGCCAGGGCTTTTAGAGCTGTCGCCGGAGTTCAAGAGGAAAGTCTGGGGATAGGCTGGGGAGGGAGGGGTGTCGGGGGCTAATGCTGGGGTTCACTTCAAAACAAACCTACTCTCTGGTTTCGCATCTAGACCTGGGATGACAGCTTGAATGCTGCACGTACATCAAGCTCCTTCATCGTGAATGCGCCCTGAAGTAAAAACAGAAATTGTTGGAAAAACTCAGCAGATCCGGCATTATCTGTGGAGAGAGAAACAGAGTTAACGTTTCGGGTCCAGTGACTCTTCTTCAGAACACCCTGCAGTAAATGGACAAAGTTGGAGTTTCACTTGGCTATCTGGAGTCCAGGGTGCTCAGGAGGAGGCTCTGCATACAGTCCCTAAAGTGGCTGGAAAGAGGTGAAAGGAGAGGGCGGCGTTTGGGGCAGGAAAAAATTAGGTGCTTGGAGATAAAATGGGATGGTGTTGAATCCGACACGCTCTAGGGTTAACCGCTGACTATTGCTCAGTCCCTTTATGGCCGAGAGAACAGTCTGCAGCGAATGTCAGTGTCATGAGGAATTGGGAATGGTTACTGAGTGCAGAGTGTACACACACAGCCTCGAATATGAGCCCGGGGACCTATGATTGTCTTCAACAGGAGGGGAATTAAATCAAAATAACATCGATCACCTTCTAATTCTCGTTTTACATTTCAGTAGTACCCCAGACTTCGGTGAAAGTGCCCGATTGTGATTGGCTGGAATGTCTCGGCTTTAAGTTAACACAAACCAGTCAGAGACACAACGGAGTGGGCATTCAATAATTTATGGAGAAGGAAATTGTAAACACGGAGCTAAAAAAAAGTCTACATTTGATCTATTTGACATACAGAGTGTGCCAATCAGAGTGGGTTAGTCACACGAAGCGGGTAGGCTATGTATAATATAAAAGGTTGTATTTAGTACATTTCTGATCCAACCACAGCAGAAACAGTTTTTGAGATGGAACTTGCTGAATAACCACTGCTGCACTACTGAAACAAAATAGTTTATGACAGGTAAAGTTACATTAGAATGTAAATAAATAGTCCAGAATTTGCTTCATTTAATTTTTAGTCACTTTCTGAGACGGGCAGTCTAACTTTTTTGTTAATTTAAAAATGAATGATGATATTTCAATGAGAGCCATACATCTGAAACTCCGACTCTCTCTCTCTCAATGTCCGCAAAAAATGCCAGTATTTGTTACCTTAAGCACCCCCCTGTCTTGGTTGGGTGTCAGGTCCTCGGCTACCCTCTCCAGTTCCGTAGCCTGGCCTTCTTGCTCGGTCTCTTTTAGTTCCTGACCGGTGGTCATCATTCAGCAAAAGTCTACAACTCAGTGGTTTCCACAAACTGCTGCACCCTCAGCCTCTCTCTCTCTCTTTCGCTCTCTCTCAGCTCTCTGGCCACTAGGGGACTGCTGGGTGTTAGTGTCGCTCTGCTTGCTTCCTGCAGAGCTCGGTGTCCGAGACGCTTCCTTGTCCCTCTGCCTCCTCTCAGCGCCGCTCTCCGGGAGATATGGAGACAGCTCTATCCCAGCATTCGTGGCGCGGGTGAAAGTGGCCTATTCCAGTCCCGGTGAGGGAATAGCCGTCATGGGGCGAGGTCAGAGGAGGTGGGGCTTCCTTCTGCTCAATGGGATTGGGGGAAAAGGAGGGAGTGCAGAGAAAGGGGGAGTCCCAGGGAAAGGGGGAATCCCAGCGAGAGAGAATTGCAAGAAAGGGAGTATCATTATATGTATCATTGATGGGATCCAGAGGTTACAATGAGCAAATAGGTAGTGAAATTCATGGAGGACAAGGGTTGGCTTCCTATGACAGACCTGAAGACACGTAAGCGCTGTCTGAAGTTGAGAGGAGATTTGTCTCAGGGCATTCCAAAAACAATGAACGACAAAGGTAATGTGAATGATGTTACTGGTGTGTAGCCTCATTTACTGCAAGTTCAAATCAAACACTCAGGAGCACTGGCTGCATGGTTTTCTATTTGTAACATCTATCTGAGGTTAGGACCCAGACTAGAGTCGATACCCATGTTTTAATGCAACGTGTTGAACTCCTGAGATAAAGTAGCAGAGTTCAGAGAAGCTGAAAACAAAACTGAACCTATTTTGAAAGAAATAGCTACAGGAGGGATCCGATAAGAACATATTAGGACAAGTGATCAAAGGCTTTGCCAAAAGAAGCAGCTTTCAAGTAGCGTCTTCAAATAAAGACTAGTATTTATGTAACATCATTCATGAACACCAGTTATCCCAAAACAGTCAATAAAATACTTTTGTAGTGAAGTCATTGTTGTAATGTAGAAAGCATTGCAGACATCAAACTCAGAATAAGAAGCAATATGATAATGAACAGATGGTACTGTGATGTTGGCATTTCTCTCTAACCTGAGAGAAAACAGTACCATCATACACTGACTAAATCAGGCTAAATGCATAGCTTGGCTTGAGTTCACATTTGTTCAGTATGACATTGTTTAGCATGCCTGGTCTGCACAGTGTGGGAGGTGGGGGGAGAGGTGGTGACTTTGGGGATTTAGGGGGTTTGAATTAATTGTCACATAAACTTACGTATGTTAAAAGGCTGTTCAACTCATCTAGTTCATATTGACATCTACCTGCTACATAAAAATTAATCTTCGTTCCATTTAATTCCACTAAATCCACTCGGCCAGAGCTGGTCCAATTTTAGTTAAGTCATTGGAATTCTATAAGAGCAACCTCTTCTATACAGGGATTGAAATTGTGGTCATAACACAGCAACACTGCATTTTGCTTGGTAAATGTTTAATGCCTTCATTAAATAACTTGTGAAGGGTTAATATCAGAGGTCCATACAGGCTTTCTCAAAAGCCAAGGCAAGTTCAAATCCAAACAAGCTGGCTGCAGTAGCCTTTACAAACTTGAATTGCAATGGTTACAGACAATAGGAAATGAAGTTGCCAATTGGCTCGTGTTACTAGTGTGCAGCAGCAATTCCAAGTGAATACGGGAAACACAGCCTTCTGACACAGTATGATTTCAAAGCAACGTTAGTACAGATCAAAGACCCCAGCATGGGATAGTGGATTTGATTGACAGAATTGTTTGTAACCTTTGAGAAAGGGCAAGGGAATTCATTAGCTGTGGTCCTTTGATAGACAATTAAAGTCTGAATTTCCCTATTCTGAATTAGAAAAGTTTACTGAATACAGTTGTCAATTTCCTGAAACAATGTTAATTGTTTGCTTCCACCCTTTACTCAGTGTAGCATTAAATACAATGCAACAATAGCCTTTCAAATGGCTCATGGTAACCATCAAATAAATTAACCTGATTCCTGTTGGTAAAAATAAAAATAATTTGAAAATTTAAAAACAGCCAGATTGTGCAACCAGTTATGCATTAACTTTAATCAGACAAATCACAGGAAGTTCTTTCAGGACTTTTCTACCATAATTAGTCAGTTCTGCACAAAGTGTGTTGTATTGTGGCCATGGAGATGTGTCATAACATGTCCAAATACGCTGATTAAAGTCATTGTAGAAGAGTTTAACTTTGCACTAAAAATGCTATACTTTAATTTCATTTAACATGGTCTTGTGGGGCAGAGGTATTATTCCCACCTCTCACTACACAAGTTATGGGTTCAAGCCCCACTTGCTGTCTCATAGCATGTTGATTTTCAAAAAAAATACCCATAGGCTAGAATTAGAAGAGCAAAAACGTATTCCCTATACTTCAATCCTTAGGTTGTCAGGAGTCTTTGCTTACATTTATAGGTACTTTGTTTATTCATTCATGGGATACGGGCATCTGTGACTAAGCCAGCAGTTATTGCCCATCCCTAATTGCCCTGAGGGCAGTTAAGGGTCATCCCCATTGCTGTCAGTTTTGAGTCACTTGTAGGCCAGACCAGGTAACGACAACATATTTTCTTCCTTGAAGGACAGTAGTGATTCAAATGGGTTTTTTCCAACAATGTTTTCATGGTCATCATTAGAGTCTTAATTCCAGATTCTTTATTGAATTTAAATTCCACCATCTGTCATGGCAGGTTTTGAACCTGGGTCCCCAAAATATTAGCTGAGTTTCTGGATTAATAATCTGGTCATAATACCACTAGGCCATTGCCTCCTTTTAATACTTATGGAAACACAAGTATTACTTGTGGAAGCATGTTGGCTGAGGAGGCAAAAGACACTTCCATTGGAGAACAGCATTTTCAGTACCAAGCTATAACACCAGAGCCTTGAATTATTTTGCTTATGGACTCTTCAAGTAGCATCTGGAGGCATTTACCACATTGGTCAGACAACAGCCTTGTCTGACTCAAGGAAATGATGGATGTTTTCCCCTAGTTTGTACCCTTCCACCTAAGAAACAAAAAAAAGGGAGTTTTCTTGTTCTACAGACTGGCAGGGAACCCATGCGTACACAGACCATGACTTGGAAAGTCCTTTATGACAATCTCTCTATTTTGTTTGAAATGGATAGGCTTTCAGATGATTCATGTGCAGTTTGTTTGAGATGTTTGAGATGCAAAATCCAAAATCCAGGAAACTGTCATGTACTTAATAACTAATAGCTGATCCTTATGACTTAGTCACCCCTGTGTGTGCATTGTGTAAATTGTTCACTAATGAGAATATGCTGTCTGTTTTGATCAATGCACAATGGTCAGTACAGTAACTTATTGCAGTCAATTAAATCATTAATTTGTGCAGAAAATAGGTTGAAGCTTGTCATTTGGAACGGATCACTTAGACAGGTATATGATGAGTACCAGTATGGTTACAAATGTTGATCACCCAGATAACAAAAGAGAAATTATTTCTTACATGTGGTGGGTATTCAGCTAATGTATTGCTGCTGAGTGAGTAAAGGATGAGATATAAATCTGTTTCCTAAAATGAGAGAACAATTTAACATGTTAAATGTTTGTACAGGGACAGAAGGTGGAAAGATTCTGCAAAAAAGAAAGGGCCTCTGATATAAATGAGTCAGCCTGGCTCAAAGTCTGGAGCTCCACCAGTGCTCGATATACCAAGCATTGGCCTTGAATTGAATTTTGGTGAGTTTTTAAAGAGGGAAGTGTGAGGTATGTCTCACACTGTCCTCAACCCCATAAAGCCACTGCTACTGATGGGACCCCTACATGGAGGTTCTTGAATCACTAAATTGACTTCTTCAGGAGGTGAGTACGCTAAACCTATAATTAGTATTAGGATTATAATCCTCAGAAGGATGCAGTGGGCCTCACAGGAGCAGCCTACACTGGCAGAAACCATTACAGAGAAATCAGAGCTGGAGGACACTAGTAGAGGCTACCCATTTAAATTTAGTGCCCATTGGTCCATCAAGCTGACCATTGCAAAGGTTCTATGCTATAATTCTACATTTATTTGTTCTCATCTCAGTAGCTTGAATGCAGCTGGTCCTTTTTTAAAATCCTATCTTCTAGAGGAGAATGTTTCTTTTTCAGCTCAAGGTGAGTCAGGAGTTTGTGAGTTCAACTCCCATCCTGGAGATTTGAGTTTAAGGCTTTGGCTCAGGAAGTATAGCACTGACAGCAATGCTGTCTTATTGCTGAGGCCCCACTTGGCCTCTTAGTGGAACGTAAAGAAGAGTTTTGTAGGGATTCTGGTTTGCATTCAGTAATCTGTTGATTTTTAGGTGGTTCATATCACTTTCAGATCCTTGGTTCTGACACTGGACTTAGTTTGGGAATGTGAAATGAAGGCAGTCATCAGGCGTTTTAGGGGCAAAATAATCTCTGTATTTATTAAATACAAAGGCTGAGTACATTATAAGAAATAAAAACAAATACATAACAGTGAAATTGAAACTATCAACTATACAGAAGACAGTACTTAATTACACTATTAAATTAAACATAGGTTAAAAACTATTAGAAGCTAAACAGTAGTTTTAATCACAGAAACTTTAATCAGGCTTTCTATGCTTGGGGTTTCCTGCACTGTAACTATCCACCTTCCCCTCCCTGCTAGCTAGTTTGGATACTTTGGGGTCTCAAGAATATAAGCTCACCAATGGGGATAAACGCAGTTTTGAAACACAGCTGGCCATTCCTGCTTGCCGTATCCAGTGCCTCAATGAAGACTTTGGACGGTGTAGGCCTTCAGTTTGGATTGAGTCTGCTGATGCAGTAGGATGTGTTTTGGATTTGTTGTGTGAGTACTTGGTTTTCCTTACTTTGTGGTGGTTTTGCAAGCCGGTTTTCACCTCAGGATGTGCCTAAGGCCTTGTCAGTTGGGTCAGTGGTTTTAGGAAGTCGTTGTTTGTCAGGTCTGCTTGTCGTGGTTGGTTGCCTTTGGGTCCTCTGGTATGGAACAGGCCTGCGTCTGTAGGTTTCAGGAAGATAGCTGTGCAGAAAGCTCTCGGGGAGACTGGCTGTGTGGATCCCTCTTCTGGCGATGGGTGCAGGGATGGCTCTCGGCCTTCAGATCCTTCGCCTGACTTAAGTACACATGACAATATTAAATTAAATCATATATTGTCACGAGAAAACCATCTGGTTCATTAATATCCTTTAGGGAAGGAAACTGTCATCCTTACCTGATTTGGCCTACACATAACTCCAGACCCACAGCAATGTGGTTGACCATTAACTGTCCTCTGGGTAATTAGGCTTGGCCGGTAAATGCGGGTCTAGCCAATAATGCCCACGTTCCATGAATGAATAAAAAAGAAACTGAAAGGTTAGGCTTATCTTCTTCGATCTGGAGATGCTGCCTGACCTGACATGACCTGGCTTTCAGTTCTGATTTGCAGTGATCTACATTTGTTGTACAGTGTATTTATTGTCTGACACAAGCTTCAGTAATCAGCTTCTCTTGGGCCAGCAATGGAAACTGATAGCAGGGTTCATTTATTGATTTATAATCCAAGCAGTGCAAAACATTCCAACTGTTCACTCTTTATACATGATGTCAATATTCCTGCCGTTTTCAAGGCCAGAGATGGCATTCTACATAAACATATACTCTAGCGAGATCAAATGTTCAATTAATCTCAGTGTGGCTGCAGTGCAATTAGCTTCAGTTCATGTGAGTTAAAAAGGGGGAAATCCAGCACGTTATGGAATTACTTTTATAACAATTGCATTAACGCTGGGAATTACATGAATATATGCCTACGTACCTTTGTGCATGTGTGTGCATAAGTATGTGGATGTACATGTTTGTGAGAGTGTGTGTGTGTGTGTGTATGAGTGTGTGTGTGTACAAGTGTGCTTCTACCTGTGTGTTTAAGCTGGGAAAGGTAGTGTCTGATAAGTGACTTTCTCGGGAGATATAAAATGTAGATGTTACTTTAAATTAAGTTGCATGAGCAGAACAAAGGAAGTCAAATACATGCTAAAAAAAAGAAAATGCTATTATGTAATTCTTCAAACAGAATGATTGCGAAAAGGAATACAATTTCAGGTAGAGTGCGAGATATATGTAATTTATGCAAGAATTAGATGCTTGATAAGATATTCTGCATGATTTCGCTAGGTGGATGAATTACAACAACAACTAGTTATTGCTGGATCGAATAGAATGCACCAAATGGCCTCCTTTACCTTGTGATCTCAATTGCCTTTTATTCCTATTTGTTTTTCTTCCCCTGAAGTATCTCAGATAAATTCCCAAACAGTCAGTCCCCTCCCATTACCTCGCTCACCCATGCATTCCTAATCCATACATATGAACAATAGTTGGCTATTCTATCGCAGAAGCCATCACAGACAAGTCATTGTTCATCTCCCCAAAAATAACAACAACAATGTTGACCTATTTAATGGACTGATTTTTCCCCAGATACATTAAGGAGGAAATCGAACAAAAAACAAGACTTTGAAGAAATTTTATGGAGAGGTCAGAGGTGAATTTGAGAAGGCAAATAAATACCTATCATTCCCTTTGGTGAAATATTTTGCTATCTTTCCAGTCACTAACAGTAAGTTAATATTCTATGGCATAAAATCAGAAAGTGCTAGAATCACTCAGCATCTGTGAAGAGAAAGAAAGAGGTAACGTTTCATCTCTTCGTTCTACCACTCCTTCTAACTACAGATTCCTGTCGAGACTGTATGATGTCCTTCATTTCAGTTGGTCTGCTATTCGAGAGTAGAATGGTGAGATGGGTGAAGACTCAGAAAGCTATCTGTGCTTATGAGGACAACATCCTTCAGAAGAGGGGGAAAATAAAGAAGTAATCAGCCCAGTCAAATAACTGAAAAAGCAGCCACCAATTCATGTCTGTGCTTAAACCTATTCCCCCTATTAGATCACACAGTGGATGTGGGTATGTTGGATTAATTCACCACGTTTTAGCATCCAAGCCACCAAGAATTGAATGGCTCTGAAAAGGGGTGCTTATTGATTGCCAGACTGCTTTGTGTTGCTAGATTAGCATTAGAATCAGAATTAGAATTAGAAATAGAAATAGGTTATTTTCACATATATTCAAGTATAGGGATACATAAGTACAGTGAAGAGTGTACAAAGTCACCATTTCTGACATCATCTTAGGTACAAAATCTTAGGTATAAATTAGGAAAATGAAGAAATAAAGTTATAAGATCAATATTAAAGTCTTTGTAAAGCTAGGTACAAAGATACCTAGGTACAAAATCTTAGGTATTAATAGTGCACTGGTAAAATCTGACTTACAACACTATGGGGGAGTCTTGAGCAACAGTGTGCTCCTTCTGAAGGTCTGAACCCTTGTTGCTCTGCAATGTTGTGCAGAGTGCAGCATACCACATGCAGAATACACAGGATAGTGCATATTGAAGGGCATCACCTGGTCTGTCGAGGGACTTAAAGTGAATTTTCAGCACACTGATGGTTTACTAAGTGATTCTTCATGTTGGTATAAGTATCTCTACTGGGTCTCATCAGCTGGGTTTCATATAGCTGCCATTGGCCATATTTTAATTGGGTGACCTTTGTCTCCAAGCAGCCAGTCTGTAAGTCTGCTTTGAAGTGTGACCAAATCAAGGATGATGGTCTGGGGCAGGATGAAAGTACAATGGCAGCTGTCTGGGATTCCTGATAACATCAGCACCACATGGGAGCTATGCATGTGTTCCACACATGGAACCCCTTGCTAAAAACAAAGATTCTTGATAATCTAGAGCTGCGTTTATTGCCACATGTGTGGAGTCAAAGTTAATTGCTCATTAATTTGTAAATTGTGTTAACTGGATGCAGATGGTGGGCATTAACTTATAAAAAATAATAAAAAGGAACCACAAGTCCAGGCAACAGGCTGTGGAGGGGGTCATGTATGCCCCTCCTCTGGGCGATGTTTGTGGCCAGGTGTCCTCGGAAAGGGAACACATGCTGTCCAACAGTAGCCTTAATGCCTTTAGAGGTAGTTGGCACCACAGCGGGTAGGGTGCTTTCTTCCAACTGCATTTTGATTTAGCCCCTGTGATGATATATATCTTGAAGAGATATTTGTCTACCCCGGGTGTCTTGAAGGGGCATTCTGTAAACCTTGTGATGAGGTGCTTGCTTAATGGAAAGCAGAGTAAATAGCTTTGGGTTTTTGTTTAAATTATACAAAAGAAGCATGTGTGGGTGGAGTCAGGCTCATGCAAATCCAGGGTTTTAGTTTTGCTTTCAGTTGTTGAAGTTGGGGGTTTTGGAGTTGAAGCTGCTAGATACAACTATCTCTCTCTGCTGCTGCGAAAGTTGAGTCCTCTCTCTGCTGCTAGATTCATTGTGTTGGAGTTCCTTCTTCTAGACTGGAGGAGATAGCAAATGAAGGAAATCTGTATTGCTGAATTTGCCTTTGCCACGGCTGTGTTTATTAGGTGCTGCTATATTGGAACAGTTGATGAGATGTAGTTAAAATACATATTATTTGTTATGTATTTCAATAGAGTTAAACCTATTCCAATTCTTCTTTTCTTGTTTGTATTTTAACTGTTGTGTAAGAATAAAGTGTGTTTTGCTTAAAGCCTAGTGATTTGTTCAATCAAATCACATCTGGAATGCAGTGCCTTACACCTGCCTTTAAATAAGACAAAAGATAGGGTCTAAGCTATCTCCTTGATATGTTTTGAGGGGGTTTGGTCTGGTCCATAACACCCCATCTCCCTTTCCCTACCTCGCCCTCACCTTTGAAGGTTTGCATTGTTCTTAACAGGCCTTGAATGTAAATTAATCAATTAAAGAACACAGATGATTTACTAGCAGTGATTTATAGATTTAAAAAGCTCAGATGATTTGGTGGTGGATAAAAACGTATTCAGTTGTAATTTTTTAGAAAGTAACAATTTTCTAAAATTTGTTTTTTAAGGAATGAAAAGGTGCTGGGGAGAGGGCTTTTGCAGCACAGTAGTAGTGTTCCATGGGGAGGCAATGACCTAGTGGTATTAGCATTCCTTTCTTAATCCAGAGACCCAGGTAATGTTCTGGAAACACAGGTTAGAATCCTGCCATGGCAAATAGTGGAATTCAAATTCCATGAATATCTAATGATGACCACAAACCCATTGTCGATTGTTGGGAAAAACCCATCTGGTTCACTAACGTCCTTTAGGGAAGGAAGCTGCCATCCTTACCTGGTCTGGCCTACACGTGACTCCAGACCCACAGCAATGTGGTTGACTCTTAACTGCCCCCTGGGTAGTTAGGGATGGGCAATAAATGCTGGTCTATCCAGCGATGCCCTAATCCTGTGAATGAATAATAAAAAAAACCTCTCGCAAGAAAACCCATGTTTATTTGATTTGTCTGGTGTACTTGTAACATGTATTTGTTACAAAATACAGTGAAAACTGTTATATAATGTTGCCACTATCCACTGCCATTCTTAAAAACACAGAAAATAAATAAAACCAAAGAATACAAAGGTCAAAATAAAGAAATATAGTTAAAAACTTGACATTTCTGTCCTTCTCAAGTGCCTTAACCTTGGGTCTGGGCCTGGCTCCTCTCACCCCTCACCCTAAACCGATGCTGAGTCCAACACTGGCATGAAGCAGTCCAGCAGCATCGAATCCCTTCGCCGCACCACCACTGCTGGTACCATGATGTCTTTCTTCAGTGCCACCTTGCTTCCACTGACATCATCGGCACTATCCATCTTCGCTGGGCCAATCTCAGCAATAAAGCCGCCACTGAAGCTGCCAGATCCTGCACTGAGAGCCCAAATTCGCCTGCTTCCGCCGCACCCAGGAATACAAACCTGCCTCTGACGTGCTGGACACCTTGTCACCACCAATGCCATCCAAACTCTTCATGAGAAGGTAAGTAAAAAAAGTTGAAAGGAAAAGAGAAACAGAAAGGAAAAGCAGAGGGAACATGCAAGCCCTGGCCTCCTGGGCTCAGGAGCCCGAAAGTTGTGCTGCTTACTCCAAACCCAAGTTGGCCGGAAGGTGTTCAAGTCCCACCTGATCTCCAGGTGCGTGGAACCTCAACAGGTTCCAAGCCAATCTAGGGCTCTGTGGTACAGTGGCTCTGGCCCTGCCTCTGGATCAGGAGGCCTCAGTTCAAGTCTCACCTGCTTCAGAGATATGTCATAACATCCCTGAGCAGATTATTTAGGAACTATCCAAAAGGAACGGATCACCAATACCCTCAAAGCTTTTAGAGAGAGCTGGGCAGCAGGAAGGTTGATTGCATCATTTACCACTCAGCCCTATTTTAATTTAAACTCCTCCCTCTCTCCCTACCCTTCCTTTTTGTTGTACTATCCCAATGAGCAGTGTTTGTTAATTATTTGTTTAATTAGGAACACACAAGAATTGGTGGCAATTTTATAAATAAAAGTTAAAAAATGAAGAAGGTGCCGAGTTATAGAGAGATGGGCATTGCAGGGACTGAAATGAATTATTTCACCCTCCAAATCAGATTTAACTTGGTTCCTTCCATCACTTCTCACATAGTTGTTTTTGACATTGTCACACTGCCCCTGGTTGGGTTGTGTCTGTTAATTGTTTCTTTAATTGGTGAAATAGATGATTTTGTGATTGTTTTATATGTAAAAGAAGTTTTAAGAAGGAATAGACTGAAACTGTGGTTGTTGGGTGAGGAGATTCATGTTTGTAATGTGTATTTCTGTGAATAAATGCTTATAAAATCGTATAAAGGTTTGCTGCAATGTTATCCAAAACCTGATGTGTTACTGCAGTCGAACAGTAATACTTTACACCATTGAGAAGAGAGCAACAACCTCAAACTACAGATGCTCCAAGAGCTGTTGAGTTTCTCCAGCACTTACACTTTTTATAGAAATAATGTTGAGGTTGGAAGTCATAGTCATAAAGATGTACAGCACGGAAACAAATCTTTCGCTTCAATTCAACAATGCTGACTAGATATTCTAAATTAGTCTCGTCCCATTTGCTAGCATTTGGCCCATATCCTTCTAAATCCTTCCTATTCATATACCCATCCAGATGCCTTTTCAATGTTGTAATTGTACCAGCCTCCATCACCTCCTCTGGCAGTTCATTCCATACACACGCCACCCTCTGCATAAAAAAGTTGCCCCTTAGGTTCCTTTTAAGAATTTTCCCCTCTCATCCTAAACTTGCGACCTCTAGTTTTGGACTCCCCTACCCTGAGGAAAAGATCTTAGACTATTCACCATATCCATGCCCTTCATGATTTTATATACTTTTATAAGGTCAGCCCTCATCCTCCAACACTCCAGGGAAGATAGCCCCAGCCTATTCAGCCTCTCCCTATAGCTCAAACCCTACAAAACTGATAACATTCTTGTAAATCTTTTCTGCACTCTTTCAAGTTCACAACATCTTTCTTATCGCAGGGAGACCAGAATTGTATGCAGTATTCCGAAAGTGGACTAACCAATGTCCTGTTGGTAAAGAACCTGGTGGATTTTCTTTACCAGCAGGACATTGGTTAGAGGGATTGAAGTGGAGGTGGTAATATTGATGAAGAAATCAATTGCAGTAGTGAGGACGAATAATATCTACGGAGCTTCATCAAATGAGACCACTTAGGTAGAAGTAAAACACTAAAAGGACAGTCACACTGTTGGGTGTGTACTATCAGCCCTGAAACAGTCAAGGAAAGATAAAGGATCAAATATTAATCACATTTCAAAGATGTCTAAGAAATATAAAGCAGTAATAGTTGGAGATTTTAACTACCCAAGTATTCACAGGGATGTGAGGGAGCAAAATTCTTAAATACATCCAGGACAACTTTTTTAGCCACTTTATAGCAAGCCCAACAAGGGGGGAGACAGATTTGGACCTCATATTCAGAAATGAGCCTGGGCAGACGAAAGGCATATTGGCACAGCAGCATTTTGGAGATAGTGACTCAGTTAGATTTAGGATTTATTGTGAAAAGGGATAAGGAAGACCTGAGAATAAAAGTTCTAATTGGGGAAAGCTAATTTTACCAAGATACAATTTGCCCTACGCAGAGCAGTGAAAGACATTCAAGGAGGAAATAGTGAGAGTACAGGACAAATGTGTAAAGACAAAGGATGGGACAAAAACGTGAGAACCCTAGATGTCAAGGGGCATGAAGTATGGAATTAAGAAAATAAAGGAAGCTTATGGCAGATACCAAGGGCTCAGTACTTGAATATAAAAGTGAAGGGGGAGACTTGAAAAGTAAGTTAGGAAAGCTAAGAGAGTCATAAGAAAGCATTGGCAGGTAGAAGAGCAAAAGAATAACTGGGGAAACAGTAGGGCCATCAAAGTCATGAGGCAGTCAAATGTGGACATAGAAGACATGGGCACAGCCCTCAAAGAATGCTTTGTGTTAGTCTTCACAACTGAAAAGGATGATGCAGGTCTAGACATCAGGTGGAACATGCTGAAATACTCAAAAAAGGTTTACACAGAGAGACATGCTGTGTTAACAGGTTTAGTAGCCTTAAAAGTGAATAAATTGCAGGTCCAGATGAGATTTATCCCAGGCTGTTGAGCAAGGCAAATAAGGAGATATCAAAGGCTTAGACTATAATTTTCAAATTCTCTCTGGCCACATGTAAGGTGCCAGAGGACTGGAGGATTGCTAACATTGTCCCATTGTTAATAAAAATGGAGTTTGACATCTGTGGTTGGGTAGTTATTAGACAGACTCATGAGGGACAGAATATATCTGCACTTGGAGAGAGGTGCATTAATGAGGGATAGCATGGATATTTGAATGGAAATTCATATTTGACAAACTTAATCATGTGTTTGCAGCTAACCAAAGTGTTGATGAGGACAATGCATTTGATGTTGTCTATATGGACATTAGGAAGGTCGTTGATAAGGTTCCTCATGGCAGTCCGGTCTAGAAATTAAGAGCCCGTGGAACATAAGGCACTTTGTATTGGCACTTTGGATTCAAAATTGGGCTGACAGGCATGAAACAGAGGATGATTGTCAAGAGATTTTTCTGTGACTGAAAATTTACTTCCACTGGGTTTCAGCAGTGATCAGCCCTAAGGTCGTTACTGTTTGTGGTGTACATTAATATTTGTAGTTAAATTTAGGGGTGGGGTGTGATCAAGAAGTTCATGAATCACAAAAAATTGTTACGATAAATAGTGAGGCAGATTGCTGTAAGCTGCCGGAGAATATCGACAGACTGGTCTGGTGGGCAGTGCAGTGACATAT